GGGCTGGACGGGCGAGCCGGGCTGGATGGCGGCATCAGGCAGGGCCCCTGGCCGCAAACGGAGCAGTTCCCTCAGGGTCTCCTCCACCTGGGCTAGCTGCTGGAGCGGGGAATCAGGGTCGGCGGTAGCAAACTCCCTCCGGAGCTGCTCCCGGAGCGGAGCTGCCTCTAGGGAGTCTCTCACGGCGGGTTCCTCAACCACCCGCCAGTACAGTTCCTGCAGGAGGCGAAACCTGCTTACAGCCTCCAGGCAGGGCTGTGGCTCAGGAACCCTGGGGGGTGCTGCAGCAGGCACCTCGGCCATGCGGCCAGCAGGGGGCGCCTCGTCGGGCGCCGCCGACACGTGGCCAGCAGGGGGCGCCGCAGCAGGCGGTGCCGCGGGCAGTGCGGCGGCAGCAGCAGCAGGCGGAGCTGCCCCTTTAAAGGCTTTAGGGATCTGGGGAATTGCGTCTCTTATGGCGTGTATCCCTCCTAGACCCAGGTGCACTGGCCGGTAGTTGTAAGCCTCCATGGGGGGTGGCTTCTCACCGGCGCTGAGCAGATGGGCAGCAGCGGTTTCCTCCCAGGTGGGGAGCAAGGAACAGGCTCCCAGGAAGAGCGTGGAAGCTTCTTCCGGTTGTTCCCTGCTTTTCCTCCGCTTCTCCCAGCTGCTTGTCAGGCTTTGGCTCAGGCGGCGGAGGCATTTCCGTGCCCTTCGGAGGGGATAGTCCTGTCCGGGCGGGTGCCCCTCCGTGAGGAGGTCCGTGCCCCGGTTAGCCAGAGCCACGGCTACGGGGTCTTCTTGGACCTCGGGCTGGGACCGCCAGTACACAAAGTCTTGCAGCAGACCGAGCCGGTGGTGCTCGGTCTGCCGCTTTGTGCTTTCTCCGAGATCTGTCATTCTGTCACGTTGGGTGATCCGGCGAGCGGGTAAGCAGGCGAGTAGATGGCAGTATGGGGCAAACGGGGTTTATTGACAGGTCTGGAGGCACATCAGGGAAACGAGCACGAGACATAACAATGACAGATCTGGGGAGACTCACTCAGACGCGGACTAAATACACCGGACAAGGCAAGAGAAACAGGAAACAAGTGATGACAATCCGGGAATCACACAAAGTAACGAGGTGGGCGCGGCACACACGAGGATCGGACGGAGCTCAGCGTGACAGATAGACAGTAGCAGTAATTATTATTATATAATAATATACATTTAAATATAAATGTACATAAATTACATAAAGATTTCTTATTCATTATTTTAATATTAATAATAAACCATTCGTGCGTTTAATTATAATAATATTGTTGTGCCAAGCAGGGACGGAACGGAGACAGGCGCAGACGTCAGGGTTTCGGGGAATGCGGGGTTTAAATACAGGTAAGGCAGGCAAAACGCAGACGGACAATACATTGACCGAACTGGGGAAACAAATTGAAACGTGGGCGAAATACAGAGGGCTAATGACAACAACCAGAAACAGCTGATCACACAAGGTTAATGAGGGGGCGTGGCACACGGAAGGAGCGGACGATCGGGGCAGGACATATTGTTTGGATACATTTATTGACTTACTTTACAAATTACTGTTTTGATAAATGTGCTTAGATGTGTTTAGTACAGTATATGCTCTTGTTTTATTCGGTTCATTTTGTGTTTAAATGCTAAAAAAACATATTTAGGTGTAATTTTTTGGGGCCGGGAACCAATTGGTTTTCCATTATTTCTTATGGGGAATATTCGATCACAACTCGAACTTTTTAAGATTCGAACTTGAGTTCTGAATGGATTAAGTTCGAGTTTTGAGGTACCACTGTACATAGAGGTAAGGAGCACACGCAGATTATAACACCTTACCATACCCACCACACAACGAAACACCTCAGGGATGAGAACCATTGTGCAGCAGGTGATAGCTCAGCACCACACTAGTCCAAAAGGAACAGTGTGAGTTTTCTTTCAGTGGCTGAAGTGCCAATACTGCGACCAAATTTTCCATGTTAGTTGGAGGACCTGCTTGCAGGGCTGGATGTAAATTAATATCATACCCAAGATGGAGCAATTACAGGTTAAGGGCCTTGCTGAAGGGCCCAATGGAGTATGATTACTCTTGGCAAACCTTTAGATTGCTGGCACACATCCCCAGCCTCAGAGCCACTACTCCGCATATCACATTTGGTAAAAGTGTCTGATAAATAAAGCAAAGGTAAATGAAAATTGAAAAAGAATGGAGTTATTGAGATTGTCATAATCTTGTCTTCTTGCCACATTCTCATCCCATTTGCTGCTATCAAGAAGTCACATTTGTCTTTGAAGTTAGTTGGTTAGGACAAATATAATCCTACATGGATTATTTTGGCCTTCAACATTCTATTCTTCCTGAAGTCTACCTAGATTCAATATTTGTTTAGAAATTTTCCTCAGACCTCCAGTTTGTTGAGGTAGTACAGCAATAACATGTGAAGGGATTTAATAGTTTGAGTGTCTTTGTGACAGGGTTTGTGTCTTTGTGCAGGTGGTGGTAGCAGAGACGTTTGAGGAGATTGTCAATGATCCAGACAAGGATGTGCTGATTGAGTTTTATGCCCCCTCATGTAGACACTGCAAGAACCTAGAACCCAAGTATGTGGGGCTGGGCCAGAAGGTGAGTATCATGCACTCCTGAATTGTGTAGGTTATTGACGTGTTTCATGCATCTGACAGAGCACAAACACATCTGATTGATAATCATCATCTGTCTATAATGGTGTTTAGCTGCCTTTTATTGAGGGTAACTAAGCAGTGGTGTTTTTGGTCCCTTTCCCCATTCTCTGTAGCTATTGGGTAACCCCAGGATCATCATTGCCAAGATGGATGCCACTGCAAATGATGTCCCAAATGGATATGATGTGCAGGGGTCAGCTGCCTTTATTTCAGCATATATGTTTTCATGTATGTGGAGTTTGCATGTTCTCCCAGTGTCGTCGTGGGGTTTCCTCCGGGTATTCCGGTTCCCCCCCACAGTCCAAAAACATGCTGAGACTAATTGGAGTTACCAAATTGCCCATACTGTAGGTGTGCATGTGCGAGTGACTGGTGTGTGAGTGTGCCCTTGAAATGGGTTAGCTCCCCATCCTAGGTGGTTCCCTGTCTTGAGCCTGTAGCCTCCGAGCTCCAAACCCCCAGTGACCCTAAACAGGATAACCGCATACCGGAGGTGGATGGCTAAATATAAAATATAGTGTGTTTGTGTGTGTGACTCTTACAAAAAAACACTGCACAGTGCAGACCCTGTTGTGTAAGGTCATATTTCCACCTGACTTGGTGGACATTATTACCTTATTACCTTTTTCTTTTCTTTCCAGCTTTCCCACTATTTACTTTGCACGAGTTGGGAAGAAGGACCTGCCACTTAAATATGAGGTTAGCTAATCTTTTTTTTGTTTCAAGAAAAACAAAAAAGGAGCGGCACGGTGGCACAGTGGTTAGCACTGCTGCCTCACAGCAAGAAGGTCATGGGTCTGGTCCTGGGTCCTTTCTGTGTGCAGTTCACATGCACTCCCCATTTTCATGTGGGTTTCCCCCAGGGGCTCTGGTTTCCTCCCATTAATCCTTTCCCTGTGATTAGTTCCACTGAGAGATAATCTGTTAGCAGATTATGCAACAGCGATATTGAGATTCCATACTTCCAATTAAGGAGAATTTTTTTTTTTAGCTATGATCAAGGTGATAAGTATGATCCTGTGATATTTGCACATATGGCTGATGGGTGTAATATCTCCATGGAAGACAAAGAGATGGACGCAGTGGAATGCTGTGACCCAGATATTGGGAGAGTTCAAAGATTACAGTTTGCTAGGAATTTTGGGTTAGTGTACCTTGCCAGAAGGAGTGGTAATAACATTGTGTTGTGTTGAGAGTCCATTGTGAATATCTGTACTGGTGAAGCCCATAACATGCATTCTGCAATTAGTGATGTGTGTTCTATGCATTACCTTATATTGGATTAGTCGTAGTTGTTCGCACTGGAGAAGATATTACTAATTCTGAACTCAGGATCCACTGTGCTCTTCCTAGATATTTCTCGGATGTCTGAGAAATGGGAGCGCGCATGTCGTCACTTCCGGCTTCAAAACTCAGAATCCGACTCAGAATACGAGTTCCGAGGGCAAATGGAATGCAGAAAAACTGCCCGAAATGGGTTGACAGAGACATTTCAGGGATTTTGAGTCATTCTGCGCTGCAGATTGGTTAATTGCGTTAAAAATTTTAATCAGATTAATCATGATGATGGATTAATCCGCATTATCACAGAATCACAGAAGTGCAAGGTACCTTTGCCAAGGGCACTGACACAACCCCATACCATGACAGACCCTGGCTTTTGGACTTGTTGCTGGTAACAGTCTGGATGATCCTTTTCTTCTTTGGTCCGGAGCACACGGCGTCCATTTCTCCCAAAAAATACCTGAAATACTGATTCATCTGACCACAGTACACGTTTCCACTGTGTGATGGTCCATCCCAGATGCCTCCGAGCCCAGAGACGTCAACGGCGCTTCTGGACACTGTTAACATAGGGCTTCCTTTTGGCACAGTACTTTTTTTACTGGTATTTGTGGATGTAACTATGTATTGTGGTACTTGACAAAGGTTTGCCAAAGTAGTCCTGAGCCCATGTGGTCATATCGCTTATAGATGAATGACGAACCTTGATGCAGTGCCACCTGAGGGATCGGAGATCACGGTTGTTCAGCTTAGGCTTGTGCCCTTGTCCTTTACACACTGAAATTCCTCCAGATTCCTTGAATCTTTTAATTATGTTATGCACTGTTGAAGGTGAAATATTCTAATCTCTTCCTATCTTTCTATGAGGAACATTGTTTTTAAACATTTCAATAATTTTCTCACGTATTTCTTGGCAAACTGGCGATCCTCGGCCCATCTTTGCTCCTAAAGGACTAGACCTTTCTTGGATGCTGCTTTTGTACCAAATCATAATTACAATCACCTGTTGACATCACATGTTTCAAATCACATCATTATTTAACCAATGTACCTCATTACTAGCCCTAAATTGCTCCTGTCCCAACCTTTTTTGGAATGAGTTGCAGGTCTGAATGACAGGAAAGGATGTACACTCACCTAAAGGATTATTAGGAACACCATACTAATACGGTGTTTGACCCCCTTTCACCTTCAGAACTGCCTTAATTCTACGTGGCATTGATTCAACAAGGTGCTGAAAGCATTCTTTAGAAATGTTGGCCCATATTGATAGGATAGCA